ACAAGAACAACAACATGTGCACCAAACCAGAGTTAAATCGCAGTTGATGAATATTCATGAAATAATCGATCCCACAAAGTTCACATTTTAGCTGGAGCTCCCGCGGTTTATGACCTCTGTCTTTGTGGGTACTACAAACAATTCGCACGAGAAGGTTGAGGGTTGAAGGAATCATGCTTATAAGTTGGTGGGAATATTAGACCTCAAAGTTTCTAATGTGTTGTAACAAGTTAACTAACAAAACTTGGATAGTGAGGGTCAAACGTACATTTTAGTTGGATGTTAAATCGGCCTTCCAATTACCACTTTTGCAACATCGAAGGCCCAAATTAGGTGATCAAAATTCAAATTCCTTAAGCAAACCCGCCTTATTTTCCAGTAAGTTATATGTTTTGGTTTTTTTCGGACATGATAATAGCCATTTTCTAATGTGTTCGGGTTGCCAGTTGGGCTGAGCTGTGATAATGTTTTATTAAGTGGGCCAAGCCGGCTTGACCCATTTCATCTCTAGGTTTGATGTAGTTTTCGTTGTAAGAATCCTAAGATTATGAGATGGAAAATTGATATAGCTTATTATTAGCATCATCAAAACTTACCATCTAGGTAGATTGGTACATTGGTAGGTGAGTTCTGTTTTCGATGCTTTTTCAACTAAAGATGTTGTAATTATGCTCTTGAAGGATAAATGGGAAAAAATAAAAGTAAAAATGAGGTGGATGAGTCTGCGGAGGAGGAGGATGATGAGTCTGATGACGACGACGTCGGTTTGGGTTTTCGAGCCTGAGCTTGGTCTAGACTCAAGGGAAATACAAGTGCAAGACTTGTGACAAAGTGTTTCGATCTTATCAAGAGCTCGATTGACGCAAAGTGAGTCATGAGAAAAATAAAATTACGTTATTATCATTATTACTGGTATTTTTACCATAGATTGGTACATCGTACATTGTACATTGGTAGGTGAGTTCTGTTTTTGATGCTTTTTCAACTGATGATGTTGTCATGTGTCTTATCATGCCCTCAATGGATAAATAGAAAAAGATAAAAGTAAAAATGGGGTGGATGAGTCCTTGGATGAGGAGGAGAATGAGTCTGACGACAGTGTCAGTTAGGGTTTTCGGGCCTGAACTTGGTCCAGACTCAGGGTAAATACAAGTGCAAAACTTGTGACAAAGTGTTTTGATCTTATCAAGCGCTCGGCGGACACAAAGTGAGTCACAAGAAAATCATCAAAACTTACGTTATTACCATCATTACTTACATTTTTACCATCTAGGTAGATTGGTGCATTGTACATTGTAGGTGAGTTCTGTTTCTGATGCTTTTTCAACTAAAGATGTTGTCAAGTGTCTTGTCATGCTCTCGATGGATAAATGGAAAATGATAAAAGTAAAACACGAGGTGGTTGAGTCCTTGGAGGAGGAGGAGGAGGATGATGAGTCTGACAACAGTGTCAATTAGGGTTTTCGGGCCTGAGCTTTGTTCCGGACTTAGGAGAAGTACAAGTGCGAGACTTGTGACAAAGTATTTAAATCTTATCAAGCGCTCGACGGACACAAAAGGAGTCACAAGAAAATCATCAAAACCCAAGTGTTTGATGACTATGAAGAGGAAAAAGAAATATTTTGAGGAAGATGATGAACAAGATGGTAACTTGGCAGGGCCACAAGTTGGGCTAATGTTTTATTAAATGGGATAGGTCGGGCCAACCCACTTGATACCTTGGTTTGACGTAGTTTTCGTTTTAAGGATCTTAAGACTATGAGATGGAAAAATTGCTATAGTTGTTTGTCGGACGATTCTGGCGGTTAATAAGCCATTCTGACGGATAAAAGATATCCGACACATAATTTATTTACTGGCGGATTAAAGTTACTTTCTGTCGGATTTTTCCTGGCGGATTTAACCCTCAGTATTTTTTAATTCTTTTTTTTTTTTAATATTTTTAACATATTCTGGCGGTTTTTAAGTTATGGTGGCGGTTATAACCGACAAAAATTGACTATTTTATTATTTTAGTTTCTGGCGGTTATGATTGTATTATTCTGACGGTTATAACCGACAGAAATTGACTATTATGTTATTTTAAAATGTTATATTGATTAAAAATAAATAAATAAATAAACAAATGGTTTAAATATTTTTTTTTCACTTACGGTCCCGTTACCTAATCTCTGAATGTTTCGTAGAATGCAGATCCTATCAAATTGATAGATTTAACAAACACTTAAGAGTTAATGTTATACTTCCATTAAGTATAAAAAATTATCCACTAGTGTAAATATTTTAAATTGAAGATCGAATTTTTTCAATGCATTCTTATAGGATTGAGGAGTGTAGCTGTAAAAAATCATCAAAATTGGAGCTAAAATAACCGTTAAATTATGATTTTTCGTTTATAACCGTCGAAAACTTTTGTTCTGTTACCTAATCTCTGAATGTTTGTTTTTTGTGATTTTTTAGTTATGCGATCTCGGATTATATACAAACATATTTGACGGTTAGATCGTTGAAACTAGTTTCGTAGAATGCATATCCTATCAAATTGATAGATTTAACAAACACTTAAGAGTTAATGTTATACTTCCATTAAGTATAAAAAATTATCCACTAGTGTAAATATTGTAAATTGAAGATCGAATTTGTTCAATACATTATTATATGGTCGAGGAGTGTAGCTGTAAAAAAATCATCAAAATCGAAGCTAAAATAACCGTTAAATTGTGATTTTTTGTTTATAACCGTCGAAAACTTTTGTTCTGTTACCTAATCTCTGTGTGTTTGTTTTTTGTGATTTTTTAGGTATGTGATCTCGGAGTATATACAAACATATTTGACGGTTGGATCGTTGAAACTAGTTTCATAGAATGCATATCCTATCAAATTGATAGATTTAACAAACACTTAAGAGTTAATGTTGTACTTCCATTAAGTATAAAATATGATTTATCCACTAGTGTAAATATTTTAAATTGAAGATCGAATTCATTCATTGCATTCTTATAGGATTGAGGAGTGTAGCTGCAAAAAATCATCAAAATCGGAGCTAAAATAACCGTTAAATTGTGATTTTTCGTTTATAACCATCAAAAACTTTTGTTTTGTTACCTAATATCTGAATGTTTGTTTTTTACGATTTTTTACGTATGTGATCTTGGAGTGTGTACAAACAAGTTTGACGGTTGGATCGTTGAGAAACGTTTCATAAAATGCGTATCACATCAAAACGGTAGATTAAACCAACACTTAGAGTTAATATTATACTTCTATTAAGTATAAAATAAGATTTTGTGGTATCAACTAGTGTAAATATTTTAAATTGAAGATCAAATTCGTTCATTGCATTCTTATAGGGTCGAGGAGTGTAGCTGTAAAAAAAATCATCAAAACCGGAGCTAAAGTAACCGTTAAATTGTGATTTTTCGTTTATAACCGTCGAAAACTTTTGTTCCGTTACCTAATCTCTGAACCTTTGTTTTTTGTAATTTTTTACGTATGTGATCTTGGAGTGTGTACAAACAAGTTTGACGGTTAGATCATTGAAAAAAGTTTCGTACAATGTGTATCACATCAAAACGGTAGATTAAATAAACACTTAAGAGTTAATGTTATACTTCCATTAAGTATAAAGTAATATTTTGTGGTATCCAATAGTGTAAATATTTTAAATTGAAGATCAAATTTATTCATTGCATTCTTATAGGGTCGAGGAGTGTAGCAAAATTGAGTGGCGTTCTATTATTTATATAATTGATTAATTTTAGTAAGATAAGATTTCATTTTGTTGTTGTTGTATGGCAACAGTAGGGTGATTTCCAAACAGATTCCGTAATAACTAAGGTTTTTTTTTATTTTATTTTTAATTTAAAACATTTTGAAACTAACTTATCTTTCAGATTGAAAATTTTGGATTTTCGGTTGCAAATTTTTTTTTTGAAATTTTCAGATCATCATCATAATTTAAAATTTCTAAGTTTCGGATATTTGTACATCAATCTTTGTGCTTCTGTATATGTAATTCAATAATATTTGGTAAATATTTTATGTAGAATTATTATACATTTTGTAGTATGTCAGTATATATATATATATATATATATATATATTAGACAAAACAAAATAGTATGTATGTTTATAATCATGGCAAAATATAACAAAGAACATGGCAAAATATAAAAAACGTGTAAAAGATACACACAATTAGTAAATAACAGCAAAATGTTCAATTTTTTTTGGAATATTTTAATTGGATTATCCAAATTAACAATGAACATGACAAAAAAAAAAGTTTACAAGATGTAGTTAATAGTTATATATTAAACCAAACAATTATTTATTTTCGACGAAAAAAAAACAATGATTTATTTAATTTTTAAAAACTTATTCTACTTAAATACATTTTTTTATTTATTTATTAAACCAAACAATTATTATTTTATTTTAAAATAGTAACAAAATTTTGGGGGGAATTTAAAATTTTGGGAGGGAATTTAAAATTTTGAGAGGGAATTTTGGGGTAATATTGCTGCCATTTTTTGTACTGTCGGTTAAAACCGACAGGAATGAAAATTTTCCGTCGGTTTATATTTTAAAAAATGTTTTTGTCGATTTTAACCGACAGTAATGAATTTTTTTTTATACCCACATCCAGCCCTCACTCATCTCCTTCATTTTTCTGAAACCTAACTCTAACTCTCGGCACTCTCCCTCTCTCTAAGCTCTGAGAAGGAACCCCCACCATTCCTTTCAATTATGACCAAATCAACCCTAAAAAATCTGAACATCGAACCCTTGGGACATGGGGAATCAACCTGCAGCGTTGCATGTATCATCGATGCATCACCGTGTGCTTTGCCATTAACACTGAGAGCTTCAGCTATCTCGAACTCCATCTCAGGTATGAGTTATTTTCCCCTCTTGATTGTGTGGGTTCTAATCCATTTGTGATGAGTATTATGTCGAAAATCTCTGGGGTTTAATCTCTGCTTTGAATCTGTGCATGCATGTCATCACAGCGACGAATTCCGGCGAATGTCGTTAAGTTTGAAGCTAGGTGGTGGTCTTTTTGGGAACCCACTCATCGTCTTCGTTTCGCTTCAAAGATCCGAGCTTGTTTCGGGTACGGAGCCGATGGCGGTAATGGCGCCGTGTTTGATTTTGGAAAGGACGGGTTGACATCGATGCGGGTCAATCCTGGGCTCTCAGCGTACGCAGAGGATCCAGAATCGGCAGGCGGGTCATTGAGGGAGCTCCTGGAGTTTGGGAAGGGGAGGGTTCCGAAAGATCTCTGGGCGGAAATGGAGATTAGGCTTATGGCTAGGGCGGGGCTCCGATTGCTTGATTTGGGTGTTCAGAATCAGATTCTGAATTCTTGTAGGAAGGTGCTTCGGAGTTCCAGGTTTAAGTTTCGTGACGAGTGGGCTTCCGTCATTACAGGTACTGTTAATTGTGAATTCATGGTGGTTTTGGTATTAATTGCAATACAAATGAAGTGAACTTATCTCTCATATTTTATTAATTTCTTGTAAATTTTAGTGAAGTTTTATGTTAATCTTGTGATAATATGTAAATGATGAAGCCTGGTTGGAATTCAATGTATCTGTTAGGTTTCTGAACTGAATTCGAGTTTGATCCTATAGTTAAAAATTGGATGTGTTTTTTTTGTTTCTGTGAATTTGTTAGGCACTTGTACTCAATTTGGCATGACTTTCCCCATCTGTTCAAATGCCCAATCAGTGTGGCTTTCCTCAGGTAATCTCTCATGGTGCAATTCTCACCTGCAAGATTTGTTGTTGTATATAGATTCATAGAATTGAAATCAATATCCCATATTTTTTCCCTTATCTCATTTTTTTGTGCGTTCTCTCTTGTATATGTAAAGCATGCAGATGAGCTTGAAAATATACTCACTAAAAAATTTCTTAGATTTTTGTCGATGAGAGCAGAAGCATTTCAGGTGTTGAGGAGAAAGCCAGTGCAGGTACTTTCATTCTTTCACGTAGTTCAAATTCAACTTTGTGATTTATATGGCTTGAAAAACTAAAGTAGGTGGAATTAACTTTACTTGAGGAGTTGTTTTTCTATGGTAAAATGTAAATGGGAATTTTCATGGTTGTTTAGTCAATAGGACAACATATTTTGTAGTTGAAGTCCCAAATCATACTCTTCGCCATTTCATCAATCAGTGGCCGGAGATGGTCAACCAATTTGATCCTCATTGCTTTGTATTTTCAGGATGAACTATAAGAAGTGAAGAATATGGTGTACCTTATTAGCTCAATCTGGTTTGCTCATTAGCTGCAGAATCTGGTTCAAGCATGTTGGGTCATTTCGAGCAGAAGAAGAATGCTCAACCAGAAGGAGAAGGAGAAGGGATAATGCTGTCATGTCCTTTTTATATTTTTTTTTATTATTAATCACCCTGCTGTCGGTTTTATCCGACAGAAAATGGTCTTATTTATCATTAATATATTCCCAGTTCTGTCGGTTTTTATATGTTCTGTCGGTTTATCCGACAGAAAATGGTCTTTTTTATTATTAATATATTTCCTGTCGGTTATAACCGACACAAGTTCTGTCGGTTTTGTATATTTTCTGTCGGTTTTATCCGACAGAAAATGCTATTATTTATTCATTATTAATTTATTCTCTGTCGGTTATATCCGACACAATTTCTGTCGGTTTTAGATTAGTTTCTGTCGGAAAATTCATTTCCTGACGCTGGCAATTCTGTCGCTTATTATATCCGTCACTGCATCCATATTGTGTCTGATTTTGCTTAAAATCCGACAGTAATATACGTTTTTTGTCGATTTTTGAACCGCCAGTTATAGTTAATTTTGTAGTAGTGAAATGCAGGATTGGATTGGAATTCCGCCACATCAGTATCCAAGCTGTGGGTAGGTTTCTATATTGTATGAGAGTAGTTGAACCACTCATCATTGGAGAGGATTGCAACTGGTTCAGTTTTTTAGTACGGTATATGCCGAGGAGGAGGTGGAGTATGGCTTAAGGAATATGACTGATAGTGTCAGGGACACCTTGGCGGCAATGCGGTCTTCCCCCAAGTTTGTGCTGTGGCAGTCTCCGTTTTATGATGTGAAGGTAGTTGTCGTTGTCTTGATTGGTTTGTTTATTTGTTTTTGAGGTGCTGGTTGGTGATTCACTTAGTTACTATCGAGCAATTGATTGGATGAGTGTGTGATTATGTAGAGCTTGAAGGGTATTCCAGATTCATACGATGAATTTACCAAACTTAGATTGCCAGTAACTTTGCCACTGTCTTCCGCAACATTAACTGGTCGAAACATGGAAGTGGATTGGGGTAAGAGTTCCCATATTGTTAATGCTTCTGCTTATACTTCTACTTGATTTGTTTCGTTACTAAATTTGTCGAAGATATATCTTGCAAGTAGTAGTGACCATAATCGCTTTACTATGATTCAGGTCCCATCCCCACATTTAATGATTTGAAACAATTTATCAAAGAAAATCCATGCAAAATGGAAGAGAGTTGGAATTCAATGAAAGAGATGTGCGCTGAAATGATTTTGATGAAGGAAATTTTGAAGCCTGGGCAAAGAAATCTAAACAATTCGAGTTCTAGACATGTCCAGGTCCCATCAAAGAAGCGCGAGAATTCTATGTTTGTCACTACAAAGGGAAATTCTCTGGGAGGGGGGACGAGTAAAGCATTGAAAGCTTTGGGTGCATACTTGAGATATTTGGAGGGAACAGAACGTGATCACTACTGGTGGGAGTACGTGGTCATATTTTACCGTAAAAAAAACTTAATGATCAGATATTCCTTTCCACTTCATTCCTGCATTAACTAAAAGGTTCTTTTGGGATAATCTTGTTGCAGAATACATGAACAGATGCCCTGTGCTGAAAGTCGGGATGGAGCTTCATTTACTACTCTTTGGTCCTGCCTTTTTTCTTTTATCCTATCCAGAAGAAGAGTATATTTTGAAGCTCTCAAGTATAAGAAAGAACGAGATTCTGGATTTCTATCTCCTTTTGGATATTCATCCGCTACAATTGCCGCAACTGTTGATTCGGTGTGCTCAATGGAGGTGCTGTACCAGTTATGCGAAAATTGTATTTATGTTTTGATTGAAGTGGCTTTTCGGAGACTTACCTAAGTTGCTTTGTTTGCAAAAAAACATTATGTATTGCATAACATATTTGTAAGCAACTGAGTTATGTTTTGTGACAGTGGTATTTGCTTCTCGCTCTAAAAAGTCAGTTAAGTGATGACAGAAGATTTTGTATTCGTATCTGGAGATGGAAAGGCTATCTAATTCTTTTCTATTTCAAAGATATTCTGTGCCTTGTAATCTGGATAAATACTTGGCTAGCTTTATGTTGTAGATTGGGGTACCTACTCTTTCACTACGATACTACTATCCTTTTGTCAGTATACAGTTGTGGGTGAAGAAGGTCCTGCTACTCTTCTGGTTCATGGTTTTGGAGCCTTCTTGGAGCATTACCGTGACAACATACGCGCCATTGCTGAAGGTGGAAATCGAGTATGGGCCATCACACTATTAGGATTTGGCAAATCGGAAAAGCCAAATATTGAATACACTGAACTCATGTGGGCTGAAATGCTTAGAGATTTCATTATTGAAGTTGTGGGTGAACCAGCACATCTGGTTGGGAACTCAATTGGTGGTATGTTTTAAACTAGAAACGAGATGATCAACTTACCTAAACAATGTCTTACAACTTACCTAACCAGTTCTGGTGGCTTATCTGCTTTAATTTTTAGCTTTTATTCTCCAGTGTGCATATCTGTTGTGTATCTTATTGTTATTTGTTACGATTTTCTGTCTCCATGTTATATTATTGCAATTGTCGCTCGTCTCTGGCCTGCTTTGGTCAAATCTGTGGTTCTTATCAACAGTGGTGGGAATGTTATTCCAGGATATTCCTCTGTGTTGTTCGCCAAAGTAAGCTTGATTAAAAACAGTCTCATAATATAGTTTTCTGTTTCAGGAGAGAAGAACTTCGGGTGCCTCATGGCTAGGTGCTAAATTCCTTTTGTTCTGCTTAAGGTTGACACTCAAGGACATAGTGAAGAATTGCTACCCATCTGTAAGTATCGGTACTGTCTTTTTTTCGAATATGGTTCACTTTCGTAGTTTTCGTTTGTGCGTTTTACTACCTTTTCTCTGCAGAAAACAGAGCGAGTCGACAATTGGCTTATTGATGAAATGCTAAGAGCAGTATCCTCTTCCATGTGAAGTACATTTATTTTTCTCTAGGAACTAGCAATCACAGTTGATTTTTCTTATACAAATTAAAAAGGATAAATTACATAAAACTACCTCAACGTTTGGGTTATTTCATACCTCGTCTTTAAAAAGTTTCAATATCATACCTTATCTTCGAATTTGTTGCAATGTCATACCTTCCGTTAGTTCCTCTGTTAAATGCTGACGTGGCATGAGACAAGTCCACTTTTTATTAAAAAATTATTTAAATATTAACTAAATATTAAAAAATTAAAAATTAAAAAAAAAAAAAAAAAAACCTAGTTCATATTCCCTCCCCCTCAACCCCCTTCTCCCCACCCAACCTGCAACCCAGAAGAAGGAAAAAAAAAAAAAACCCATCTTCATCTTCCCCGAACCCCCTTCCCTACGACCCACCCATTTCTTCCCCCTCCTGTCTTCCCTAAACCCACCGCACCCATCCTCCACGTCCTCCTCCGCACCCACCCTCGCACCCACCCGCACACCCACCCTCACACCCACCCTCCTCCCTCCTCTACACACCCCACTCCTTAAATCCACACCTATTGGGGAAGACGAGATCTAAGTTGCAGGGAAAGGGAGATGGGTTTTTTTTTTCTTTTTTGGGTTGCAGGTAGTGAGTGCGGAGGAGGAGGTGGAGGATGGGTGCACGGTGGGTTTGGGGAAGACGGGATGGGGAAGAAAGGGGAGGGGTGGGTTGCAGGGAAGGGGGGGTCGAGGAAGATGAAGATGGTTTTTTTTTTTTTTTTGCTCTGGGTTGCAAGTTGGGCTCGTGTTTGGGGGGGGGGGGAGGGGGAGGGAGATGGGAAGATGGGTACGCGGAGGAAGTGGAGGATGGGTGGGAGTGGTTTTGGATTTGGGTTGCAGGGAGGGAAGATGATGAAGGGGATGGGGTTTCTTTCGGGGGGGGTTTAAATTTTTAATTTAAAAAATTTAATTAATACTTTTTAATATTTTATTAATTTTTTAATAAAAAGTGGACCCGTCTCATGCCACGTCAGCATTTAACAAAGGAACTGACAGAAGGTATGACATTGCAACAAATTCGAAGATAAGGTATGACATTGAAACTTTTTAAAGACGATGTATGAAACTTGACACGCCCCGACCCTGATATTCCCCGAATACCAGGATAGACACGTGCTGGCCGACACCCGAGGCTGACGAAAGCCATTAATTGATACAAAAGCTAAGAATAAGAAATAAATAAAGGTTATGAATTTAAAAACAATGAGTTAATAATTTATGAACGTGTTCAGAACATACAACTAAACCTAATCACTAAAAAGAATTGAGATAAAATTGAATAAATAGAGAAGTGGGTCCTACATCGAGAGGACTCAAATATGCTGTTGCGGAAGTGTCTTGATGCCGGGATTAGGTGCATTGATTCTAAGTCCTGAATAGGGGTGTTGAGCAAAAATTGTACATAATATGTAAACAAATAATTCACTCGACACAATTTCACCCTCGTTCAGTTTTCCGAAGAGGGTTTTATTAATTCGAGTTCGACCCATTCTAGGCTACACGCCTATTAATTACAATCTTTCTTTTGGGAAAGAAATACCCTTTGATTCCAATTCGAATAAAAATGTAACTTGAGGAATTTGATGTTTGTTTGATTTTGTGACTGCACCTAGGTCGAACCCTAGATTGCCTACGTACCCTCTTGAGGGATCAAGTCACTCGTAGTTCATGGATTTGGTATTTATTTGGATTTGATGCCTTGTGCAGTTTTAGCTCATGCGGGCGAGGAGCATTTGAAAATTTGATATGGCTTCATGCCATTTGAAATTTTGATACAGCTTCGAGCCCTTTGAAACTTTTCTTTGGCTTCGTGCCATTTTGGTATTTGATGGTATGAGTGAATTTAGTTTATATAAACCATGGATTCGTTTCGACTTCACGGTTGCGTCTAAAACTTGATATTAGACTGCCTACGTATCCTTAACAGAATCAAACCGGCGTAGTTCGTTATTTGAATGATTTTTGTGTTCAGACTTTTTAGGAAAATGAGGAGCCATTTGGATTAGATTTGAATAATTAATGGGTAATGTAAATGACCCATTAATTTGAGTATGACAAACTGGGAGGGTTTTTAGGAGCACGTCACATCCACTTTTTTTCTCCACTTGAACTTCACGTGAAGTACTTTAGTTCAAAGTGGAAAGAGGTTTGCTTTTCCTTTCATTAAAAAAAAAAAGGGACTCAAAGTCTATCTCACATGAGGTGTATAGGTCAAAACTTATTTAGAGAACCTTTCTTTTTATTTTCAACACCATTAAAAAAAAAATGGGACTTTGAACCCACTTTGATTTTTCAAACATTCTGACAACAAACTTTTACTCCTCCATTTTTTCTATGTAACTCTTCCAAGTCCAAAGACTTTCTTTTCTACGTGTCTAAACTCCCACGTGAGATGCATCTTTATCCAGGCCCCCTCTTGTGTAATTGCTTCGGAAGTCCTCATTTTCTTGACTCTAAACATGTGGTTTTCATCCAGCAGGAACCGTAATACTTGGGCTTCAAATAATTTCGTAATGTTTTGGAATTCTTTTCAGGTTTGTCAACCGTTGATTTCCAAAGGAAGATGGGTAAGATTGGTAGAGTTCAAACTCCTTTTGATTTGTTCCAATTTATCTTCTTTTCCTCCCTAAACCGTAAGGACTCTTCTCTTTTTTTTTATATGAGGTCATGATTTCTTCTTTCTGCTGCCTTTATTCTTTTTGCTCGTGTGCTTTCTTTGTAGGTCGAAGGAAAATCAAGACGAAGAGGAGAAGAGATCGAGTAGGTTTCCCCCTTTTCGTTTTCTATTTTCTGGGTTTGATTTTGGAGTGGGTTGAAGTTCTGAACTGCAACTGATTGGTTTAATTATTCCATGCAGGCTGTCCTGGCAATAGACCTCTCTTCCATTCGATTGTTTGGACAAGCGTTAATTTATGGCACCACAGGTGAGGAATGCACTCTGAAGTCTGTGGGATGCCACTTATTTCTTTTTGCTTCTTCCTGTGTGCTGCCTTTGATGCCTACCATATTTTCTCCATTGTACAAAGTGATGTTTGCCTATGTGAATGCCCATGAACTTGATAAAGTTTTCATTAACTTTCAAATCTTTTTGAAGAATAGGCAACCATGCCTTCAAATGCTTGCTAGTCCTGCCGTGAGAAAGCATATTTGAATTCGAATTCAATTTTTCATTTTGCTACGGGTTGTTCCGCTTGGTGGGTTGGTTTCCTAAATGACTTGGCAGCAAATCCTTTTTTTTTTCTTCCCATTTTCACATGGTTTGTCCCATTTTTACATGGCAGAGAGCAAGTGAGAAATTTTGACAGGATGAAGCTCTTTGTTTCACCTTCACGTGGCAAGGGACCAAATGCCTTTTAGCTACTTCTTTAGAGTTTGAAAAAAAAAATTTCTTTCTTTCCCGTTTGTCTTGTAGCATATTGACAGTTTCATTTCAATGCTTTTGGTCAATATTTTGACCCAATATTTGACAAAAAAAATGACATCCACATTGTTCATTTGTCTTTATCAGGTGTTTGAATTGGGGAACTTCCCAAGCATGAGTCGGTCACCTCTTTTGCTTTTACAGAAAGATATCTTTATTTGTCAATCACGTGGTCTTACTCCCTCTAGCTTTTCCAAATATGATATCCACCTTCTTTAGCTTTACATAAACTTTTCTTCCTTTAGTATTCTTTTGGAGTATGTTTTCCTACTTTTCTTCTTGAATTGGGGAATTTCCAAGAATGAGTCGGTCAAGGGAAGTTTTCATATAAATTTTAGCCAAAGGCATCCTCAATGCTTTGTACCCGTGGGTAGCAAAAACACCAAACAGAATAATTTCTTCTCTTTGAGTTGCATCTTTGTATATGTTGCCTCTTTGTTGTCTTACTTCTCGGGGACTTAAGCCTAGAACTTTGAAACTGCACTTGACAATTTGGCAAAGGGGTAGACCATTTAGACTTGGTTTAAACTTCACGGGGTGGTCTAGGCCACCCCGAAGAAATTCATGGGATTCTTGGAGATTATTTCTGCTGCAGTTTGTAGGGAGTCGGTGGATTGTTCAGAGTCTCCACCTCCATTTGATTGGTGAAGTATGCCAAACAAAGAGACAAAGGCCTTATATGCCTTTGCTTGTTTCCCTTTCCTCATTTTTTTGTCTCTCTACTGCTTTTCAGTTTTGTGTTTGCTGCTACAATGCTTTTTTTTATTTGCTGTGGTCTCTGCTCTTATTTTGTTCTTTCTGCAACATAACAAGAGAAAAATAATAATTTAAATAGAACTTGTTTCATACCTGGTGATGAATGTTCTTCTTTAAATCTTGACTTGAAAGCACGAAATGGTTGAATAGCGTGCTCTCTTTCCTGGCAGCACCTTGTTGCTTTTGGTATTTTCTCTAAAAGTTGCTCTTATTTTCGGCAGAGTTTCCCCTCTTTTTTCTGTGTCCTTTACTTGCTGCAGGTGATGCCTATTTATAGGTGTCCCAAGAAAGCTCTAGAATTTGTTACGTGGGGAAGATGGAGGTTCTAACCTCCTGTCACTTTCCCTTAACTTCTCCCACTAACTATGCAGTTTTTTTTTATGCCTTACAGAAAGATCGGCTTTGAACAGTTTCCTCCCCCTTTTGTAGGAAGACATTCAGATTTATTTTTTTTTATTTTATTTACTTATGGATGTTAATTTGTATGTAAAGCCCATCCTCTCTTTTTTTTTGGGCTGGATCACATTTTTGTTTTGCCTTGTAATTTGACCCAATTTGTGTGGGCTCTATTTTTGTATATTTTTGTTGTTCAACAAGGGGCGAAAAACAAAGGTGAGTGGACCAAGTTCATATATACAATAATAATAAAACAGTTATCAAGATACTAACCCCCACAGTTTAATAATGAAAACTACTAGCATAATAAGTGATGGATTTAATAAAAAAATCCTATGCCAAATATCTCAAAAGTCATATCGCAGAAACGCATCGCGGAAATCAAAACAATAAATGTATCATAAATCGTCTCGTAAACGCGGTGTGCTGCTAGAAAGATCACTGAATAAATAATAACTCTCGGCCCAATGCCTGCACCTCAGTCTCTGTGCCCGTAGCCAGAGATAACTCCCTCCCGGCCCAATGCCTGTCTCCATGTCCCTCAGCCTTTCGCTAGGGATTATTTCTCCCAGCCTACATGCCAACACCAGATCCTCGCCCCAGGCGGCATAGTGTCTACTAGGTACGCACAAATATTTACGCCTCTCATAAATAACCACTTCATAGTATAAGGTCATCCATCGTCTATACTATAAAGAGGGGTTTCTAAAACATGTTCTAGTATCCTATCGTCATCCATCGGATAGTCTACCAGTTCATGGTTTTTATAGAAAATACGATATATAAAAATATAGTTCAAAATAGGCTAACCATTTATTTCCTCACCAAAACACGAGACAAAATCAATAAATTAAGTAAACAGGATTGATATAAATCAATTCACAAATTTCGTAGGCATGCTAATCATTTATGCAATTACTATAAAATCATGAAATTTTAGAAGGGGTCCACTCACAGTACTTAGTTGCCAAAAGTTGCGCCACTAGCAAAGATGGAAACGTCACAATAATTGCCCCTAAGCACATAAAGAGTCCAATAAATAAAACTATATAATAGAAATTGAATTTGGGAAAACGGACATTGGAAACGGATTCAGAACGTCGAATTACCCTAAGAAGGGTCCCGGACGAAAACCCGAAAAGTCAACCCTAAAGTCAACATTGACCGGGGGTCAAAGGTCAAATTAGGTCTAACGGGTTTTAGGCTTGAAATCCGGATTAAGGTTTAGGTTAAATAGGATTAGGATATATTGGGTTTTCTAAGGTTTTTGGGTTAAAAGGGTTTAGGGTGAAGAAATGTGGTTTGTGCTTAAACCCCAAACACACACACACACACACGGCATGCATGTGCATGCATAAACACATACACACACACACACCCACGGCACCAAGGCCTTAAGGCCTCACAAAAACTAACAGGGCTTAAAGCCCTTTAAGTCAAAACCGGCCCAGGCCCTAAGGGTTTTAAAAACCAAGTAACAAAACTTAAAAACTAAAGGGGCTAGGGTTTTGGGCTTAAGACAACACGGGCCTAAGGCCCGACGGGTTTTCTAAAGGGCCTGAGAGGCCTGGTTTTGCCTAAGAAGAAGGCTGGAAATTCAGCCGGAAAACCACCTAATTTTAAACAGCCATAACTTTATCACTACTCAACGAAATCAAGCGAGACAAAAACAAAAGTTGTAGCCCTTGAAGAGACGAAGAGAATGGTACCTCACACGACATCTAACTCGTCATGATTTGGCCGGAAAATTCCTCGAAAGCCTCAGAGGTCGCCGGAAACTGGGTAAAATTCAAATGAGTATAACTTCTTCAATACTCAACGAAATTGAGTGAAAAAAAGGAAAGTTGTAGTACGTAGGCAGACGAAGAGATTGATACCTTACACGCCGGCCAACGCGCCGTGGATTGGCCGGAAATGGCTCGAAAGGGGCGGTGCTCGCCGGAGCTCATGAACGGGGCTTCATGGTTTGACTTTCAAGATGCCAATACTATGGTTGAGTTCGTAGCGACGAGATAAAGACGATGGTGATGTTAGTTGGTAAGAAAAACCCTCCGAGGGGTGGAGATAGAGAGAGCCGAGAGAGTGAGGGAGAGAGAGTTGCGGGAAAGGTGAGGGAGAAGAGAGAACTGAGAGAAGAGAGAGGGAGACCAGAAAACATAATATAAAACAAGGTGGGCCCCATGGGCTCACCAATTAAGGCTTTAAAACAATTTTTAAATAAAATGGGGTTGGGGTGTTTCAATCTACCACCCTTATAAAAAAAATTCGTCCTCGAAATTTAAAATAACATACTACACTGAAAAACTCGAAAATACGAAAAAAGATACACATATATATACGTAACGAAGAAATCAAATCAGAGCAGTTGCACAAAAGGAAAAATGTCATCCCGTCGCGATCGGGTTGCAATGATTCCATCTTTCGTGCCCCCAGACTCATACTTTCTTTCCTCATCAATGTAATAGTAGAAACATACTTTAATAAGATATAAAGTCGAAAACACAAAATAATTTAAGGCCAGATAACGTCAAAATAGATATGTACTAACATATAGATCAAAAGCTCGAATCAACTTAAAAACGAAAACAGAAATACTTTTCCAAAAACATTTGTAACGTCAAAACAATTAACTAGTAACGGAAGTTCAAAATACTTATACTGAAAACCAAAACTGAAAAAAAATGAGAGTGGGTCTTGCCCAAGAATTCGAAACGTCAAGTACTCCGAGAACAGATGTGTCTTTAGGTCGAGTCCCAAGAATAACAATTCCGAATCTGCGTCAGCTGCTGTCAACGAATCTTCCCGCCCACTTGCTTAATGAACCCAACAAATAAGCTATCGATATCACAGTCTACAGCCTGCAATATCGACCTCACATTTGTTGTCTCGATAAGCAAGTAGTAATTTCCTGAGGATGAATAATTTCACACGTCGTAAATTCGATCCTCCGAATACAAGCTCGCACAACTCCTCTAACAACCAATGTTACCTGTAGAAACTTACTAAATCAGTTATAATACAACATTAGCTTACTACATTACTTGCCGTTACTTGCCGTTGAGGGTGTACTTGCTAAATAAGTTATAATACAACATTAGCTTACTACATTACTTGCCGTTGAGGGTTTACTTGCTAAATCAGTTTGAATGGCCATCTCATCAGGTTAACCACAGATGCTATAAAACAAGCTTTGATGTGGATTCCATTCTTTTTCCCTCCATCTGGTTAACCAATTATTCCAACCAAAGAAAGTTGTTTTGTTAGGAGATTACTTCATTAATTTAAGATATTCTTTATGTACATGTCCCTCTATAAGTTATAATCCTTCCCTTCTTATAGGTATAGTTCTCAC